GGACGGGAGGCACCCCGTGGGAGGCACTCGGAGCCTGGAAGGTGGTCGGGCGCAGGGAGGTGGGCGGCTCAACACAGGAGCGCCCCCTACTGGCCCGCCACATGGGCTACCAGCTCCCCTGTCTCCCCATGCTGCTCCCTGGCTGACTGGGGCACAGGGGGCCTCAGCATGGGGGCTGCCTGCTGGCTAATCTCATGCTGAGTCACCCTGCACCCAGCCACCGACATCCGCCTTTCCCACAACAAATTGAGCATTGAGACGTGTCCCACAGCAAAGCTCGTGAGCAGGGACATGCTCATTCAGCTAGACATTTTGCACTGATATAGTGTTACAGGAAGCATGCACTCACCAGCTCTTTTCTGTTCTCAATGCTGAGCAGCTGGGCAGACTGAGACATGCAGAAGGATTTACAATGTTCCCAATTTCCTTTCTCAGGAGAAAAGAGATGGGACCTGCCCTCAGCAGTAGCCCACCGTGCTGGACACTTCTGCCCTGGAACAAACACATTACAGATAAGCTTACCCCATCCCCCATCATCCCAGTGCTGGAGAAACTGCTGTCTGCAGGGGTATTTCATGCTGCCTTCTTCCTTCACCTTCTATCTGGGGGCAGGAGATGATGTCTTGACCCCAGTACTGAGAGGTGGGCAAGAGCCAGGAACACCAGGCCTGACTGACAGGAGCCAGCCTCAAAATGAAATCAGGACAGTGATGCCTGCTGTGGCCTGGGGACATGGCTTTTCATCTCCTGAAACCTTTGAGTGGTCAAACCATTTTCCTATCCTGAATAAAGGTAAAATCCTGGGCATTTTTATCAACTCAGAATCCCAATTCATTCTGTGTTTGGGTCACTCCAATATTTCCACATTTGGAAAGTATTTCATTTGAATTTTTACCTTTTTTAACAATTTTCCCCCAAATAGTCCTTAATTTCGAAGGAGACCTCATGCCCTAAAGGCCAAATCTCCACCCCCCCCCCCTTTATGTTATATCAGGCCTTTGTTTTGAAAAAAATGCAGCATTTTTTTTCCAACATTTCTTTGAAGGGGTCAAGTTTGTGGCCACGATTTTGTCTCCCTCACACAGAAACACTTTGCTGAATAGCCACAGATCTGCGTTTCCTCAGGAGAAAGTGTATGTCCAGAAAGTATCTAGGGAAGCCCCAGCCCATCCTGCTAAATTCACTGACATCTTCAAGACCAGGACTGTGGCCAGAACTAGGGCCAGGTGGGAGGAAATCCATCCTCAGAGGAAGCCCTGGACTATTCCAAGCTGAACCCAACAGGAAAGTGGAGTGAATCAGGTTGGGAAGCAGGACAGTGAGGAGTGCCCATTCCTCACTCCTTCCTGCAAGTGGGGCCACAAGGCAACATCTCTGTGAGATTTGTGAACATACTGGAGCACGGAGATGCAAAGGAAAAGGATCCAATCTCAAAAGATTGGGAAGCTGGGCTGCAGCTTCATAAATGTCATAGATATTAGGGGTGCAAGAGACCTCGCTAGATCACTGAGTCCATACCACTGCCATAGGCAGGAAGTCTGCTGGGGTCAAATGATCCCAGCAGGATAAGCATCCAAGCACCTCTAAAATGAGTCCAGAGAAGGTGCTTGCACCACCTCTGGGACACTTGGACTGTAAAGAAGACTTTCCTTATGTACAATCTAAATTGTCCTTCCAGAAATTTGTGGCGGTTAGACCTTGCTATCCCTTGGGGCGCTCTGGTGAACAACTGTTCTCCTGGATGCTGAGGCACACCCCTTATCTACTTATAGGATGTCACCAAGCCCCCCCAAGCCTTCTCTTCTGCAGGCTGAATGGTCTCATATCTCTAAAAATATTATGTTTAATGGTGAGAAATGCAAGGTGCTGCAAAAATCAAAAATACAAAAATAAAATTGGTGACACCTAGGTGGATGGCAGCACTATGGAGCAGGATCCGGGAGTCTTGGCAGATGACAGACTCAGTCTGATTCTGCAGTGTGATGCAGCTTCACAGAAGACAAATGTGGCTTGGGATGTCTCCATAGAAACATTAGGTCGAAGACATGGGAAGTGATAGTGCCTCTACTTGACACTGGTTAGGCCTCCTGTAGGGTAGTGTGTGCAGCTTTGGGCTCCGTGCTTTGAAACAGATGTGGAGAAGGTAGAGAGGGTCCAAAGGCAGGTGACAAAGATCATAAAGGGTTTGGAAAGCAAGCCATGCGTAGAAAGGCTGAAGGAGTTAGGTGTGTTTAGCTTGTGGGAAAGGCATTAAAGGGGGACCTGACAGCTATATTGAAATACCTGAAAGGCTGCCACAAAGAAGGGGGAATGCATGTTTTCTCTCTTGCTGCAAAGAGGAGGATTCAGACCAATGGCTTGAAATTGCAGCAAAGTAGGTTTAGATCGGATATCCAGAAAAAAAGTTCTTGACTTTTAGGATAGTGAGGCAGTGGAATATACTGTTGAGGGGAGTTGTGGACTCTCAGTCACTGGAGGCTTTCAAGGAGAAAGTGCAGAACCACTGGTCAGGGATGATGGAGGCATGGCTAGGCCTAGATTCTGCTATGGGTATTTCCCATGTTTCTGGGCTTTTCTGGTTCCTGTATTAGGCTGGTAGGGAATTCCCCCCGTGCCCCCCCCCCCCAATCCCTGTTTCCTATATGAGGCAGGGTTTCTTTACGCCTTCCACAGGGTTGTTGGCTGTCAGCTGCACCCAAGCCTGAGGATTTGGACTGCAATATGCCAGTGGTCCTGCTGGGACTTAAAACTGGAGGTTCCTGGCTAGGGTGTCTTGCCCCTCCTTTCAGGGTCAGACTGATCACAATATCTGGGGTCAGAAAGGAAGATGGGGATGGACTGTGGCAAGGGGGTTGCCTTCCTCTGTAGTTGGGGGCATAGCCCTCTTTCTGGGATCTCTTGAGCATGTATAAACAACCTTTGGAGAAGCAGGACATTGGCTGCTGTAGCCTTGTTGTGGCAGGTTAGGGTATTATGCCTAGTGGTCGTGTCAGGGTTGACTGAATTATTTTCCTAAGAAGTTAGACAAAGGATTTGTATAGGGTGGTTTGGATAGGGATGATGATGCCTTAGGCAGGGGGTTGGACTACATGAACTAAGGAGGTCCTTTCCCACCCTAATTTTCTATGATTCTTTCCCTTCTTCAACATCAACATGTTTCAGACACTCTGCAGTAGAAGGACAGTCTCCCAGACAGGTCTGGATCTTACTTGAATGTACATCTCCTGCTATTCCAGCATTTACCTGTATCAACAGGATGTTCATCTGGAATTTCTGGGAGGTCTGGCTGCTGGTTTGGGCAGGACGTCGGCAGCTGGATGACGTTTCCCTTCTCTCGTCTGAGCTCAGTGACTAAAATTTCAGAAGACCACAACAGTGTTACAGCAGTTACACAGATCTGACATTCTCTGATTACAGTGACAAAAAGGACTTGATAATACTAATACAACCCACAGTTACTGCTTGAATCTTCCAATAAAGTCTTTTTTTTTCCAATGAGGGTAATAATGGTAATTTCTCAATGGTGAGCCCCTCTGCAGAACACTTATAAGAGGGTATATGGGGTGGCCCAGACCCTCTGGTTCCATTGGGAGAAGCATTGGGTAAAGGGTGTAATCATTTCTAGACTTCCCAATGTCTTCCTTGAGCAGGGCAGTCATAGATCTAAGACTCCTGGAGCGTCCAGTGTTTAAAGAAAAAATCAAAAAAACAGAACAAAACCTGCTGAGGAATTTCATTTCTGTAGGATGGTCCAGCTCTGGGCTCCATTCCCTCATTTCAACCAGAAACATTTCTTAACTACCATATTTTTTTGCAGAAGGGAAAGTCAGTCCCTTTTCAACAGAAAACCACAAAAACCTAGGCATCTGAGTGATCACACACATTGTGGAAGCAGATAGAAATGAGTATTGCAAACCATGATGCAATTGTAACCTCAGAGCATTTAGGTCATAATGTCACTGCTTCTGTCCAGGGTGACCCAGGCCAGGCTGTAACAGTGATGGGGCTTGTCCCCAGCTACTGTGATTTTAAGAGTGACCATCAGACCCAGCTGAGAATTGCATACAAAAATTATTGCAACTGGTAAATGCGTGTGCTGCAAAACTACCACTTTCTGTACATATGAACATTCTGGTTTCCAGTTTTTCAAATCAGGAAAATTGCAGAATTTGGCTTGATGAACCAAAGTGAAATAATTTCTGTCCACTTAGTTTGGCCCCAAGTTTTTTTTCTTCATTACAAATGACAAAGAGTGTCTCTATATGGTATGAAAAACACCTCATAAAAATTGAGATGAGTACTCAGGGATAATTAGTTGTAATAGCCACTTTGATGTATTAACCTGGCTTTGCTGCACCTGCCATAGATAAGGCGACGCCGTCTCCCATTTTCTGCACTTTTTTTCTGCACAAAACTACAGAAATCTATATAAATATTCCAGTCATGGAAACCAACCCTCAAATCCCTGCTCTCCCAGTTGATGCAGAAACCTCTCCTGCATTAGAGGACTGCACTTCACACAATTTGCAGAAGTTCAGATACATACAAGCAGTGAGACATATGACAAAAAATACAACACTACTCCTGGAAAGAAATGAACATAATATGATGCTCAATTCATGATAAACAGCTCATCTCGGGTCTGTCAAATCCTCTATATTGAAAGTAATTAGTACACACAAACATATATATGCACATGCTCACACAGTTATAGACATATGAATGCCAAATGCAAAATGTATGCACAAATGTATGTTTGCATGTGCATGTGTATATGGACAAAAAGCAGACACATGCACATGTAAGAGGGTCATTACATCATTTTTAACTGAAAAATTACAAGATTTAAAGGACAGCATTCTGAAATTGGCTTGTATGTTATTTTTAGTAAATTAAAATGCCTAAACCCTTGAAAGTAGAACAACGAATTTATATTTGTGAAACACAGGTTTGTCATAACTAAAATGACATCTCTGAGGATGGATTGGGCCTAACACCTTTAAATCTCTTTCTCTCTCTCTTTTGTTTCTGTATGCTGAAGCAGTAAGGTAAAATAGCCAAAATGGTGGCTATACACCCATTAACTCTAACAGTTCCCCACAATGCAGAAACTACAAGCACTGAGAAAGTCTCAGCTGAATATTTCTGGAGGCATTTTCTGGCACTACAGTTGCCACCAGTGTAAACTGGTCAACAATCAGCTCTCTGATATAGTGGTTAGTGCACAGGGAGTGTAACAGGGACAATAGTGGTCGTGTTCTGGGCCCTACAAGCTCACGCATGAGGAAGGGCTGCCAGGCCTGCTCAGAGGGCAGTAGTCGGTCACACTTACCCGTGGCATCGTAGACTCTGAATCCTATTATCAAAAGCAGGCACAGCATCTGCGCCCCCAGTGCCAGTGCAAGGGGCAGCCAGGAGGAAGATGCCCTTGGAGACACTGACCCAGAAAGGGAGAGAAATGAACAGGAAGGTGAGGAAAACAAACCACTTCTCACCCAAAAATTCAGATCAGCCTGGAGCTCACGGGAACATTTCCAGCCTTAGAGCAGGACCCCACACAGCCCAGGAGCAAACCGCTGAGCAGACAGGTGCAGGGAGAAGACAGAGAGAAAGGGCTCTGCCAGCACCCAGGGCAGAGGTGCAGGTCAGGGGGCAATTCTGCTGCCCAGTGGGGAGGGGAGGGGGATGGCATCTCACCTCCTGGCTCCCCTCCCTGCAGCTGCTACTGCTGTGCCTGGTGCTGCAGCATCAATGGTCTGTGGCTGCTGCCCTGGGGCCTGGCAGGGGTATAGGTTTGCCAGGGGATGCCCCTGGTGTGCTCCCTCATCCCCCAGGTGTGGGGCTGTGCCTCCCATGGCAAAGCCTCTGGGGTGGGGTAGAGGGGTCCTCCCTCTCCCTCCACTGAAACACACTGCTTGGCATGGGGCTCTGCCAGCCCAGCTCCTCCAGGTGGGTGGTGCAGGGCTGCCCCTGTCATGACCAGGACTCCTGTAGGGAGGGGTCATCCCGGTCCCCCCTCTAAGTCAGCACCCAGGGCTGGTGCCTCACACATCCACCCTGAGTTACACTGTTGGGAATGGAGACCAAGGAAGCCAGGAAGCTGGGAGAACGTCTGGGCAGATGTGTGAGGGAGGTGCCAGAGCTGGAAGACAAGCATGTCCTGCTCCTGGCAGCCCATGGGTAGGGCTGGGTCCTGCACCTGGCAATGGAAACTCTTAGGAAACAAATTTGCATGGGGAAGCCCCAGATACATCTCCCATGACTGTAAACTGCACTAGGGGGAAAGAACCAAGGCAACCTTTTTGGAAGGACAATAATGGGTTCAGTGGATTCAGGAGCCTGTAATGGGTGACAGAGGAGGGCTCCCTCCAGGCCCCAGGGATGCACTGTGAGGAGGAGCTGAGCTGCTGCATCCATGTCCATCACCTTTGGGAACATCCACTAGGAACAAGGAAGCGAGTGACCAGCACTGAGGGAGGGCATGATGGTATCTTGTTATTATCGGGCTGTGACATGGCAGACGGGAATCAGGAAGGATGAGCTCCAATCCCAGCTGAGCTCACGTTACTGCCCCACAGGCCCCTTTACCCACACGGTACCTCTGTGCCCAGCAGGCAGATGAGTCTGTCTCTGCATCTTTGGAGAAGTTCCCAACCGGAGGTGTGATGAGAGGTCCTCCTGTCCCCTCGTTCCCAGTGGGGTCTAGCAGAGACGGGTAAGACTCATCTGAAATTCACTCAGGAGTGGGACGTGAGGAGGAGTTAGTAGATATTTGAACAATTTCACTCTGAAATGTAGCAGCTCAGACTTATGGTTGGGAGGGAAAATTTTACCCATCATGAGAAAAAAAACATGATGGTTTCAGACAGGTTTCCAGTCTACATCTGGGAAAGACAAGATGATTTTAAAAATATCTCATAAAACAGACAGAAGTGAGACTGAGAGACAGACAGACAGAGAGAAAAATTCCCTCTGAATTTGCAGAGACCTGGGCCTTCCCCTGGGACAGGAGAGACCGAGGATTTCTTAATTATTCCCATCTCTGCATGCAGCACCCGGTCGTCTGGCAATTTCAAGAACAAGGCAGTGACCTGCCGTGGCCGGTGCCATGAATAAGGACGGGGATCCTTAATGTTACTTATAGCACTTCCCCAACATTTCTCCCTGATGCTCTCCAGGCCCATTACACATCAATATATCCCAAGAAGCTGGCTGCCGTCTGCTCTTTTCTCCACATTTTCTCTTGTGGTCAGCCAGCGGCAGAGACTGTCACAGCACTGCTCCACCCTGCCCACCCAGGCAAGAATCCAGCTTCTCCATGTGCTCCCCAGGATGACTTCTCTCCAGGGGAACAAAATTGCCTTCAGCTACAACAGGTCCCACAACTGACCCCAGCTTCTGTGACAAATCTCTCCGCTGCCACCCTTGAAAAATAAACCAGCTAAACCCTCCTCTCAGCACATTCTCTATATGTATATTATTTAGATATTCTACCCTGCCTTCTCCTACAGCAGTCCCAGCCCTGGGACACTGCAGATGGGTAAGAAATGGCTGGAAGAGATTCAAGGGTGGGACGTGAGGAGGAACTGGGGACTGAGCAGCTCAGACCCTGCAGAGGAGCAGCGCAGACCCATGAGTGGGAGGGAAGCGGTCACCTGTCCTGAGAGACTGGTCATCTTTCCAAACCATGGCCCCATTCTGCCAAGGCAAAAGGGAGTGGACTCTCATAACAGGGGAAGAGACACAGAGAGAAACTCCTCCCTGAGGTGGCAGCAGACTAGATACTCCCAAAGGACATAGGGGAGTCAGACTGCCTGCGGACATTAAAAATACACAAAGACCATTCTTTCACAGAGCTGGGCTGAGGTAATGTGCTGCTTCTTCCAGTAAAGCACTTTTTTCTTTTTGTATTACAGAAGCCACAAGCTCTGGCAGAACATGCCCGTCTGGAAGCAGCTGCACCTGGTCAGTCGATGCTTGGAGGATGGATGCATCAATCTGCTGTAGCCGGTGTGACGATCTGGCAGGTGAGGAGCCAGCAGAGGACACAGACGGAGCTCTGTACAATCGGCTTTCATCAGCGCCGTCATTCCCTCCTCATTTCCCCACCCCCAGTACATGCACACATGAACTGAGACACTTGCCTGTGTATGGTCTGTGTACAGTTTGCTCTGTGATGCTGTGCTCCCTCAGCAAGTGACAGGGCGTGTTGCTGTCATGTAGCAGTGCTGCCTCCAGCCATCCCACTGCAAAAATCCTGCCTTTTTCCATATGCATTGCAGGCAGCCTTGCCTCTGGATGCATATGGTTCCCTTCACCTATGACTGGTCTGTTGAACTGACCCCAAACCCAGGACAAAACCTTCCTCCTCCCAACACGGGACAGCTGAATCCTGCCTTCTGGGCTGCCCTGTTGTAGCTGTAACAGCCCTGGGGAAGCCGTACCTGTGTGTGTCCCCAAGGCAGTGAGCAATGGCCGGTGATCAGGGGCAGAGCATGGAGTAGTGCATCCCTGTGGCTGGTGCACTGTGTGAGTACAGGTGTGCACAGAGGCAGGAGCTCAGAGGCTGTGTATGACCGAGGGTGGGGTTGCAGTTACCCCAACCTGCTTGAAGGGGCCCGGCCCTCCCAGGACAGGAAGACTGATGGCCTGTCCCCTGTCCCAGCACAAACCTCACAGGAAGCTCTCGCTGCTGCTCTGAGATGTGCTGCTCTGCACAAAGAGCACAGGGCTGGGACCTGTACTGGGTGGGTGACAGCTGAGCGGCGGGGTGGGGGATGCTGCACAGTCTGGGTGGGGGGTGTGATGAGAAATGGTCATGTTCCTAACCTCATACATGTGTCACATGGCTGCTCAACTGTGAACACAGCTTTCTATGAAAAAAAAAGAGCTAAGGATTCAACTCCCAGCGGTGACTAATGGACATTAGCACCCAGTTAAAACTGATTTCCACAGGAATTAGTCGTTCTGACAAGTCAGATTCCCTTGGCCCCTTTGAAAACCCACCCCAGCGGCTGAGCAGGAAAAACTGGGCAGTATCTAGGAGCCATCTGAGGTTCAGAACTTGTGAAGGGTGAGGGGATTGTGTGGCCTGAATATCTGGTTTGGGGGTGGAGCCATAATCACCTATATTGGAAACTGTTGACTCCAGGATTTTGACTTGGTGCTCTCAGGTTTTCACCTCTAGGTCCCAGACCTGCTGTGATGGTTGCTGGGATGGGAACAGGCTGGGGAAAGATGGCCTAACCGGGATGAGAATATTTTTATTCTCTTTCCTCCTCTCATTATTATGCCACCAAAGCAGCTACTGTGTCACCAGCAACAGCACGAGAGGCATCCTGGACACCAAGTCCTCACTTTGGATGCTGAGGGGAGGGACAGTGTCTGATTGTGATTTAACTCCTCCCCAACTCCCACGCAGACAGTGACTCTCCCTTCTGTACAGCATGTCCAGGGCTGAGCAGGATCCCTCTCTGCCTCACTCAACTGCTCACAGCACAAGAGAGTGGACGTGCCCCTACTCCAGGAGACCTGGCCACTGCTATTTGCTCAGCAACAGGTATCTTCCCAGTCCCTGATGGAGAGACCTAGATGACACAGGCCAGCAACCATTGTTGGCATCTGCAGGAGGATACTGAAACTTAGTCCCCTGATCCTCTTTCTCTGACACTCCCAAGCTGGGCACACTCCAGGGGTCCCTTCAGGGTAAGGGACCTCCCTGTGTCCTGGTCAGACCTGTCAGGACACCCCCACAGTTCCCAATTTCCTCACCCCCATTACTCATGGGGCTGGGTGATTCTGCACTGGTGGGAGCTGGCTTATTTTCAGAGCCAAGGTGAGATTCCTGTAGCAATTGGAGGGCATGGAGTTGCCCCAGGAGAACAATGGAAAACCCAGCCCTTTGGCTCCTGCTGTTGTATGTGACAGTGTCACCTGTGCCTGGGGAGTCACCAGGGATTGAGCATACTTCTTTTTCTCATATTTTGTGGAAGCCTGAGACACTCCCTCTGTCTGTACACAATATTAGTTTTTAGGCCTACCTGTTGTCCCTTGTGGTTGCCAAAATAGAATCAAAATCCATCATAGGGCTAAGAAAAATGTGTCTGGGGATGCAATGAGGGCAGACAACCCCATTACTGCTGGCAGCACAAGATGAAACTGGGTTGTGGGGATGGAAAAGAGTGCTGTCATCCAGAACATGCATTAAATCATAGGAGCAGAAAGAACACAGTTGTGTCTGTGTCTATGTGGCTCCCCAGACTGACCCAGGTTGGCAGCAAAAAAATGCCCCAGGCTACTTCATGTAGTTTAGGTCTTTCCTGCTCTCCCTCCAAATGACAACATACTTGTGTTAATTTTTCCTCATGGATCCATTATATTTCCCATACCTTACAATGCCCTTTCAGGAACAGCAATCTCCTGGATCAGTCCCAACTGCATCGTCTCCCTGGTGGCTTGATCCAGGTCATTTTTTTCCTTTTGTTTCCTTCTTCCTCTCTCAAATGTAGAACTGAGTTTCTCCACAGCCTCCAGCTCTAAGTTGCACACCTTGCAAATACACAGAAACTCTACCATGATAACTGTGATGACTGAAACCCAGTCAGCTTTGGTCCAGCAGTGTTGAGAGTTGCATGGGCAGAAGCCCATCACACCCCCACAAGCCAAGGACCTCCCCCATCCAGCGACCCCCAGCATACACAGCAGACTTCCAACTTGACCCCCGCGCACCCAGGAGGTAAGTGGAGCCCATGGTGGGAGGGGAGTAGCCAGCTGCAGGAGGCAGCCGGGATGAGCTGAGCAAGCTCATGCCTCACCTCCATCTCCTGCTTGGCCCAGCCCCGCAGGGAGACATGAGACCAGAGCCACGTTTATGGAGCACACAAACAAGCTCACTTTGGGACCAGTGCATGAGTTAGCACAGAAGTTCACACAGGAGGGTGAGCAGGAGGGTCATGAGGCTCTAGGCGGTGAGCCTGAAGGGAAGGGTCTGCACAGTTTTAGCCCAGACTACTAAAGATCCTCTCCATGACTGGACCCCTCCCCTCTGGTACCTCTGAGGCCTCCACACAGATGGAGGCTGCAGTCCCTGCCCTGACCTGGGTAGAACCCATGGCTCCAGCCTCCACCCAGAGGGAGCCCCTAACTTCCTGCAGAGGCTACCTGGCAGGGATGCAGGCAGAAATGCATTCAGGAGTGGGATGTGAGGACGACTTAGTAGATCTTTGAGCAACGTTCACACTGAAATGTAGCAGCTCAGAGTTATGGTTGGGAGGGAAAATTTTAGCCATCATGAGAAAAAAAACATACTGGTTTCAAACATGGTTTCTAGTCTGCATCTGGGCAAGACAGGATGATCTTACAAAATATCTCATAAAATAGACAGAAGTAAGAATGAGACACAGACAGACAGAAAAATTCCCCCTGAAGTCGCAGAGACCTGGGCCTTCCCCTGGGACAGGAGTGACCGAGGATCTCTCAGACTATTCCCAGCTCTGCACGCAGCACCCGGTCGTCTGGCGATTTCAAGAGCAAGACAATGACCTGACATGGCCAGTGCCATGAATAAGGACGGGGCTCCTTAATATAAATTATAGCACTTCCCCAACATTTCTCCCTGATGCTCTCCAGGCCCATTA